TGCATTGCTAAGCCACAGTGTGCAGATTCAAGGACATTATTGGTTTAGGTGCTTTAGAAACAAAAATGCTTGTGAAGTCCTTTAGAGACAAACAAGCCTTTCAGAGTAATCAGAATAAGCCCTAATTCATCTTTGGCAAAAGATGTGTGATATTTAACAGCAAGAAGAGTTGTATATGTAAGTGGCTGGACTGATGCATAGATTTGCGCTGTGCTGGGCGCAACAAAATGACTAACAAAAGGGACAGGCCCTACGCAGGGGTCCCTTAATTTATGAAAATAACAATGTTCACATGACTTTCACTGTAGGCATTGCACGGCATGTCTACACCCACAAACATACAGTTAAATGTTCCTACAGTGTATATTGTTAACCACAAACATTTAACTGTTGGTAACTGGGTTTTCCAAAGAGTTTTCAGTGTGAGAGGGCACTGGGTGCATGGAGGGCTGGTTTAAGGAGCAGTAGGAAAGTAGCTTCCAACATCTTTGCAGCACACCAAGAGAAGAGGCTCTGTCCTACACACCTTAGGAAGCAAGCTCTCTTCTGTAGGCCCTAGAAGTCTTCTGAAAGAAGGGCCACTGTGTAGCAGCCAAAACCTGAGTTTGCACCTCTGCTTATAGCTTAACTTGCAAAATCGTATAGCAACGAAACTACTGAGCTCTGAGGCTTTTGATGGGAAAAAGCTTTCTTTGCTGGTTTACCCAAAAGTGATTTATTCTCTACAAACTATATTGTGTAACACTTTCTGCCTTAAAAGCAACTCATGCAAAATTAATTGCCTTGCACTATGTTTGTGGGAAAATGCATTTTACTACAAGTTAATTTGAAGAACGAAATACTACAGAATGAATGCTATAACAGAAACACTTATGAATTGCCTTAACAGCATTTATAAATCAAATCACTGCACATCGATAACTTTAAAACTAACCTACATCAGGCTTTTGGAATAATGTACAAGTAAAACAGTTTTTGAGTAGCTATGTATTTTTCATAAGTTGTGGCTGACAATGAAAAATGTGGATTATTTGTTAAAAAATACAAAAAGGAATTATTTTCTTTCATTTTTAAGACTTGATGAATTTTGCATGTTCTGTTCTTTTCTATAGCTTTTTGGAAGTAATATGGGAGCCAAAATCCTTAGACATTTTCAGACTCTCTTTCACTGAAAATATTTCTAACGAGAAATCACTAATTACATGCCCTCTCCTCTGTACAGACAGAGAGGAATTTCTTCCATAGAAATTAATAAATTGTGAAGGAAAAAAGGGACTTGTGACCATATAGGCTCACCTGCTGTTTTACACTGGCCAAAGAAGAGATTTGTTCCTCGCTGAATACTTCCTTCCCTCCTTGAGCAAAAAACCTCTGTACAACTCATGTGTCAACTACAGAATATCTTTTAAAAAGGCAGTATTGATTTGCATGTTGAAGAGACTGAAGATTCACCCACAAGACGCCCAACTGTTACTTATCACCCCTTGACTGACTGCCAAAATACAGGCCAATTTTCTTGTCTCAATTTGCCTAATTGTGGCTTTCAGCCACCAGCTCTTGCCCTCTCACGGGCAGGAGGCTGCTCGTCCATCTCCTCGAAACTTCGGTGCCATTTGTGCCCCTGCTCCCATCATGCCAGAGTGCCGATACCTTTCCTCACGTGAGTACAGTCCCAGGGTACTCCTCTGAGCATTTGTATACTGCTTTTAAGGACAGATGGATGGGGCTGTGGCCTCGGTTTGAACTAGCTTGCTCTACTAACTCCTTTTTTTAAAGCCTTTTTCCAACTGTCAAAGTTAGGCCCACTTTTGTCTATAAATCACTGGTGCCTACTGTCCTGCCAGAAGTAGTTTGGGGACATTTTGTAAAATAACTGGAAAAAAATTTTGAGACAGGTTTGTGTTTCCTCCCTTCTCTCCCCATCCCCAAAATCTGAAGCCTCTTCTCCATGACATCTCACCGCAGAATTAATTTCTGTACCAAGAGCAAATCTGGGGAAAAAATGTCACACTGTTATTATTTCTCTTTTAAATTCTTTAAGTAACTCTCTTACTTAAAGGAAAAGCACATGGAAAATCTCATGCGCACAAAACTACTTGCATAATGTCATATCCATAACAGACAAAGTCCCCAGAGCAGGTTGACAATATTAAATAAAAGAAATGATACTCCTATAAAGATTTTTGTGTTCAAAGTACACACGTGCAAAATGAACTGCCAGTGTTGCTGACTCTTGTGAATTTACTTCAAGTTTTGCAAGACAAGGTATTTTTCTTCAAGACCCAGCTCCTGGAGGGGATGACTATGGGACAAAATATCTGGGGTTTTCTTCTTCTACTGCTTTCTTTCACTATTTTTTTTTCTGCCTTTCCTGACTGTGGAAAAGCCTACAGTACGACATGAATGTATCTCACAGGCTTAAAACCCAGGCAAATATGTATTTATTCTGTTCCTTTAAGCCAATCTTAAAGACAATCAAGACCTTATAGTAACCACTCAGTTCACTTCATAACAGTGAATGATCCTTCGCCAAAGTATAAGATGGGTAAGAAAGCCAAAGGAAATAATGTTATTTTCATTTTACAGATGGAGAATTAATTCGCGGTTACTTAATGCTAGATCCAAAGCCTATTGATGTCAACTGATTGCTCAAAATCACACACCTCTTCTAAACCCCTGACATTGCATTGAGCACAAGACATCTTTTCTTTCTAAATACCGAAACTAGTTAGATGTATCACCATTTTGCAGACTTTACAGAGCTCCCACTAATCTGAACAGGATTCATATGCTATGCATATGCAAGAGTCTCATAGCAACTAACCCTCTGGAAGCAGTGACTGGTGTTTAACCACAGAGCATTAATCATCTAATCACTCTGCCTGAGTTTCTACTAGGTAGAGAAAGAGAGGAGTCTTCTTTCTGCCATTATACTATAGTTTGTCCCTTTAGATTTGTTCATCTGAGAATATTACAAATGCATTTGCTAAATTATAATAGTCTGAACTACTAACAATATGCAATGAGAGTGTAAATACATACATTTTAAAATCTATGGTTCCTATTCTCTCCTATTATAAATCCTGACAAGTAATAATTACATGCAACCCCAAGAAATGAAGCTAATCATAATTCTCTTACTAACAGAAAACAGGCATTAGAAGTGTCATGTTGGGTCTGTATCAATGTTATATTTAATTAAGCAGAAGATTATGTATAATGCAGTAAAATAGTCTCTTGTTTGCTCTAATAACCAACTGAAATGAAGTTCACCAATACTAATAAGTGTTCACAGAAGTAAGGAACTCAACTTCTGTACTTTCAGGGTTACCTTAGGAAGCCATTATCACAGCAAATTAAGGGACTTAGCCAGCCAGGTGAACGTGCATCCAAAATCCAAATTCTCTAGGCAGTCTTGGAACTCTCAGCCTTGCACTAAACTTGCATCAATCCCTTGGTACTGTGCCAAAAAAAAATAATGAAAAAGGTCCATACTGCTGGCCATAACCATGTAAATTAACCATAGATTTCTGAGCACATGCTTTCAGTTTACATTTGTTATTGCTCCTCTGTGTGTATTTTACCTCTATATTGAGAGTACTGTGCAATCACCACTTGTAACTCTCTTTCCACCACTACAGGGACAGAGTCCATGGTTTGGAGAAGGTGTAGAAAATGTTCAGGCTCATCAAAATTCAGAATAAAGATTAAAACACTGGTCTGCTATTGTCCCAGCAGACTACAGTTCTTCCACGCATCATGGAAGGATTCCTGAAATGTGGCGCTTTGCCTAATTCTGTTTCTGTTAATATATTCTTTTAATGACACTGTAGAAAAGCTTAAGATAAGAAACAGACTCAGTCTTTTTTTGAATTGAAACCTTATTTAGTGTAGTATTTATACAACCCTTTTTAATAATTGTATAAACCGCATTCAGTAAATGAAATAATGCAAACTCTATCATTAGAACTGGTATTAATAGTCCCCATATTTGTTTGACTATTTTGTCCATTTCCCTTTTAGCTAGATTAAAAAAAAACTCAATAAATATGTTGCCCCATTAAGAATGAATAAATGAGATATTTACCTTTAACTAGGCATACCAATTTCAAAAACACCCTTTACATGATCAAGAATGCTAGAAATATGGTAGTATTCTGCCCTGCATATTTCAAAGGCATTAAATTAAACATTTGAAGCAAACTTATCCACTGGTTGCAGCTGTTACCAATGAGGATAAGGGAATTTTTTAGGTTGTTGTTTTTCTTCTAGCAAAACAATAAGTCTCAAAACTCTACTATGTTACTGAAAAATCCTATAGTCTAAATAGATTAGGATTCCCATTTTCATGGCATGCAAGAGACCAGCTCTTCTGCTGAGGGACAATGAATCACAAAAAAGTGAAAGTATTCATGAAGCATTTTTTCAGCTGTTGTTTACTGTGTTGCAAACTTCCTTCCTACCCAGTCCTCTCATCCTACTTATACAATTTGACTGTAGTTTACATTTTTTGATTCACATTATTAAAAAAAAAAAGCCTCTTTTAGCTAAGACCCTTTGTTTAAAAATAATATTTTTTTTTAAATTGCCAGGTTCTTGCTCAATCTGATAAGTAGGGCGCAGCTGAATACGTTTCGATACCAACAAGCACCCACAGCATTGCAGAGATGCTAAGTTTTACAAATATACTAAAACTGAATATCCATTCTGAAGCAGATGTTTAAGTATCATGCTGTAAAATCAACGCTGTAATCTAAGTGTCAAGAGACAGCCTAAGGACATGTCTTGAGTCCACAGGGCAGCCAGGACGTCTAAAAGAAACCAGTGTTGGATTATTTGTCAAAATCCTGGAGAAAAACAGCCAAGGATTGTGACTAATGAGAAGTTCTGAGTATCTCCCAGAGAAAAGAAAGAAAGTATTTCTATTACAGAATTAAGACCATGCCAGAGTGAAAACAGAGTCCCTGAACTGGCGCCATGTGCTGGAATAATACACTCACCTTGTCCACAATGCAGATCTGCTTCTTGCTTTGCACGTCAAGAATTTCCACTTCAAAGTAAGTGATTTTTGAATGTTTGAGCACTGGTGGTGATCTGAGATGGCCAGCAGAGAGCACAAGCTGAGAGAAGTTGAAAAAAGAGCGTGTGTCATTGCGGGACACGGACAGAGCTCCTCCATGAGCTCCAAGATCCCTCTTGTGTTCTGGAGAGCTGGGTTTCTGCCTCCTGTGCATGGCGTGACCCAGCAGCAGTGATCGTCATATCAACAGGGGACAGTTCCAGGAGGAAAATGTTTCCTCCCTGCATCAGTTAAATACAGTCACAGACTGATGAGACTCGAAAGGTCAAGTGGCGTTCCATTTTAAGAGTACTGTCTTATTTAGCAGGAGTGAAAACAATGGCTCTGTAATCCATGCCTATATTTAACCTGCTATTGTGATGTGCTGAATTACTGCTGCTTTTTTTTTCACCTTTTTATTTAAACTGGCATTTGAAACAACACATCCAGAGATTCCCTATTAGAAGTCAGATCCTGAAATTCCAGATCCCCAAAGGAATAAGGAATGATAGCAGCAAATTCCACTGTTATCTTCTGAGACAGATGGTTAAAAGTGTCCACATATACGCATATGTATAGGTATGTGCGTGTGTGTTTGTATATGTTAGATATGCACATGTGTGTGCATGTATGCAGCCTTAGTATGTATCTACAAAATTATGTTAGATGTCATCTATTCTAGAAATATTTACTAACAAAATGCCAGGAGTTCATCAGCAAAATTTAGGAGTTGCTTGCAAATATAGACAGGATCTTGTACCTGCTTGTATTTAGTACTATGGGCTCTCCATTATTTAATAGGGTAGAGCTTTCCTTGCAGTTCTGCCAGAGAAACTCAACTGAAGTAAAGGAAATTATAACTATAAAAGCACTAATTCAGAGCTTGGATCATTTTACTATTTTCTTATTCTTTCCTGATAATTCATTTTCACAATGCAAGTCTGCAGCAAGACAAAAGTAGCCTTTATGGTGAAAAAAAGGATTACTTAAACCAACAAATTTTATCTTTTAGAGATTCCCCAAGCCTTGTTTAAACTTCATTTTTCCTTGTATGACTTTTTTATAGGATTTAATAGAACTAGTAGCACTTTTAGATCCTGAGATTCTCCCTAAATTTCCCTGGGCTGCCTAGGATTACAGTGTTAGAAGGGCACCACGGATTTCTGCAGACAGCTCTTTCCAGTGGAGACGCAGAGTAAGTTCTGAATACATTTCTACATGGTAAAACCTCAGGGAAACTACAATCACTATTACAAAAATCATATAGGTTTATTACAACTAAGGAAATTTAATTAAGTGAAAAAAACCTTCCACAAGATAAAAGTGACCACACACTTAAAACCCCCTCTAGGAGGCAGGGTGGGAACAGAACAGGTCTCTCTGCTTTGATTCTGCTATAACTTACAGAAAATTTGGTGGTCACCACATCTTGTCTAGTGACACATGACAAGAAGTTCTATGAAATAACAGAGAAACTAATTGATAAGCTGTTGCAAGCATTAAAAATGAGAATGAGGGGGACCCCCCAAAGGAAGGCAATTTTCAAGCTAAAACAGACAATATTCACAGATACGCTTGTCTTCACATGTATGAGTTACCTGCTTGCTGTTCTTGGAATAATCCATGCTACATCAAGTTGTGTATGTGCTTAAGTTTGGAGAATCAAGCCTGCATACATGAAATGTGTCCTGCTTGTAGACATATGGAAAAGACATAGGAGAAGGAAACAAGGAATTAGCAGGGGCTGAACTCGTGAACAGGTCTGAGCTCAGTGGTAACAGGACTGGGCATTTGAAATGACAAAATACTTGCAATACCAAGGGCTAGCCTAATTTATTTATGATTCTTTAGCCAGTTGTTCTGATTTAAGAGGCTAATCCAACTCCTAACTAAGATGCTTCATGTCCATATGACATGACAAACTTGTGTGTAGCTAAGGTCTGAGAGAAAAGTTCCTGTTACCTGTTGATGCAGTCATGCACCCTTTTAATGCCTTCACTAGCTTTGTCAGCAGAAAGCCCTGACTGTGGAAATGCAGGCATGTAACAATATTGGTCACCTAATACAAATAAGGATTAAATTTTGGCTGCACTGAAATCACTTAGTGTCTTGCCATTGACGCAAAATGAGTCTTGAACAAGATTATATTGTGATTAAAGAAGTACACCTGTCTCTGAGTTTAGATGAAAGGCGTGCAAGGAACCACCACCTTCGTGGAGTCAATACAGCAACCAGAAATTTTGGTATATGCTAGTTAGAACATGGAGAGTGACAAGTTATCGGCTAAGTGTAAGGGGCTTCCTAAAAACAGCCAGGTAGAGACCACAGAATACGCAGGTCCTAAATTTCAAGTGTGAGATAGACAGACTTATTTGAACAGACTACTGTAAGGAAACTGTATAAACTGCTGTACAAGAGATGAGACAAACTGATATAATATCCCCTTTTAGTGGCAAAATCTATGAATCAGTGAGCTATAATAGCATATATTAATAAAATTCTAAATTTATTTCAATTCAAAAGCAATAAAGAGTAATATCGATCATCGTGGATAATTTCTGTGTATATAAGGAACTGGTGTTGGAGTCATTACTGTGGGTATATTTGTAACGTTATTTGAAATGATAACATCTGAGCTACTGCTTCTGAAAAAAAGCTTTTGATTTACTGCAGACATTTAAATGATCAGAATTGTATTACTGACCAAGAAACACTTGAATATCTGAAACAATTCCAGGAAAATGCTTACAAAAATGTATTTTTAATTTTTCAATATCTAAGCTAATCATATGCAATTGCAATATTTTGATAAACAGCAATCTTTACAGAGCCAAATGCTTTGCTGACATAAACTAGTAGGGCTTCCCTGAAGGTGACTGGCCCTTTCCTCACTGTATTAAATTATGGGGCTAGGATTAGACTGCAGTACCATGTCTACAGCAAACGTATTATTTGCATATAAGGTGTATGAGAGCTACTCTACCAAAAATAATCAGGGATAGAGTTACCACCTAAGCTCTAAAAGGGAGATGCATAAAAGCAGTGGAGATTTTGCCATTAATGTGACAAGTGCTGCACTTGCCTGAAATGTCATCAATGGGTTTGAATGTTCTGGCTTGACGTGAAGTAATTCAGCCCATTCTATGCGGAAGTGCACATAGAAAGGAAAGATTAATTACTGGACAAAAGGCACATCTTCCCTTTCAATGCAGTTATATGTACCTCATCTCAGTCCCCGGCACTGGAGATGGGGAGTCCCAGCACATGGGGACAAGCGATCGGTCCTGTGGTGATTTATTGATCCACATTACATGGGCACGGGCTGCTGTTCCCGGAGCTGTGGAAGGGCTAGTAGCCAGCAGTCACTGAGTCCCTGACCTCAGCTTCGTTCTGGGACTCTGAGAGGAATCAAAGAGCACTCAGCGAGAATTAGATCATCTTCAACTTGCACTGAATTTCCTGCCATATAAGGGGCCGAAATTTTTGAGGGGCCACGAGGATGGGCATAACTCTTCTCAAACTGTGGCTCTACCTCCTGTCCTCACTTGGCACTTGGCTGACATGAGCCGTTTTGCAGACGGGCAGGCCTTTTGTTAAGCCATCCTTCTGAAAGGCACTTTTTTCCAGGAGGGAAGGAATGCCTGCCCCCAAAGCATGCAGCAGGGCCATCATTTCTGGTTAACTGAACTGCTGATATTCTCACAACAATATTTTGCACCCTTCTAATAAAATATCTTGAAACAAGCATCAGGTCATGACAAAACAGGTAACAAAGCGCTGGGCAGGGACTAAGACTTAGCATTCAGTTTCTCTTATGACACTGATTTCCTGCGAGGTGTTGGGGAACTGCTGTTTTTCCTGCTTTTCTCTTCCCATTCCACATTCCTTCTCTGCATGAGGCTCTCTTGCACCGTGCATCCAGCAGACAGCCTGCCACAAAGGGATTTCACAAGATCTCAGCTGGGGCCTTAAGGTACTTCTGAGATTCCTTTTCCTCTTTGGTCATGTTCTGCACTCCTCCTTCCCCAGAGAACTGGTCATCTCCTTTCAGTCTGCAGAATACCGACTGTGAATTCAACAGCAGAGGGCCATCTCGTCAGTCCAGATGCTCGTCAGCAGCCCCTCACACATTGCTTTTTTATCCCACGCACTTCAAATGCTTAGTGGAAGCCGGGTTATGCCTTCCCCACAGGCTTTGTGATGCCAAAGAACTGAACAATGTCCCCAAGACACCAGACTCCAGAGCCCAAAGTAAGTGGGGTTCGGTACGGCAGGTCACGCAGCCCAAAGCAAAGCGGGTTCCCAAGGCCACACATACTCACTTCAGTGTCCCATTTTTGGAGATTCTGCCACTCATTTTGCTGGGGAAGAAGATGCTGGGAGCAAGTGCTCAACTGCGTTGCAAACAGGCAGTAGAGATCCCCCAGCTAAAGGAGGTCTGAATCCATACGTTTGGGTGGTACGTACGGGGCCCCACGGCCCCGCCAGCCTTGTTTAGCAGCTGCGCAGCCCACGGTCCTGGTGCTGCGCCTGGTCTAATCAGCGCTGCTCCACACCTCCCCGTCACAACCTTGGATTTAACGTTTCCAGAGCCAGGCAGGAGTGTGGCTATGCTCGCAGTCTCTTTTACTGAGCTGTCCAAGGAAGGATTTAAGGACTTGATACAAAGGACTCATTTGGAAAAACACTAGCAATAATTTCTTTGGCTCCTGGCTTCATCTGGCTGAGAGGTTAGGAGTAGGTTTACCAGGTTATTTTGGGGGCTAATGCTTTTAAATACTTGGTTTGGTTCAGTTATCCGTATCATATTAGTAACAACTAGAATGCATTTCTCAAGCATAGTGGAAATTTAAGCATGTGAACCCAGCTGTTAGAAATTAAGAACGTAAGATTGCAGCATATAGTATGTGAAATTTGATACTGTTATTCCCAAATACTGTTTATAAAGGCTACATGGGGGGGTGGAAACCTGCACAGACCTCTGGGCTTTCTTTGCCTCCACATGCCTACCTTAGCAGACTCAAAATCAATTTGAAGCACTCTGTCTACATGTGCATACACACAAAAAAGCCACTTAGAAGCAGCCCCACAGTGTTACTATTAAAACTACTTGAGTAATTTTCTCTGTTGAAGCTAAATCTGTTAACAAATAAGTAATGGACAGGACAGAAAGGCACAGAAGGAGAGTGCACTGCCTCTGTAACACAAAACAATCC